GAAGTCAACCCTCTTCCTCGGCCTGGGCAACCGGGAAGAGCTCTGCCCACACAATACATTAACCTAAACTTTTCAAATCCTTGCAATAACTACCCGTTTTCGCACCTTCTTGTTGTTGTTAACTGTGTTGTGGCACTGCCAATTGTACAGTGATCAGGTGTAGAAAATAATAATAATAATAATGCCGTATAGTGGGGTCGAAGGTACTGCTGCAAGGTACACTATCCTTCAGGACGAGAGTGACGTCGCGCCGACACCATAGGTGACGAAGATTAGCAAAAGCGCCTCTTGCTTTTACTATACGGTTCTTTATCTCAGCTTCGATCCCAAGGGCGATGACAACTTCCCAGCAGTTAATTTTTGAACGAGGTCTAGTTGATCCCCACCGAGATTCAGTGCAGGAGGCGGTCTCTGCCAATGTTGGAGGAAAGCTTTGCACTATGAGGGTGCAAAGCAAAGCCCGAGGCGACTGACAACCTGCGTTGGCATGTTTGTAAGCTGTCACACATGAGGGCAATATCGTCAGCATACTATAAGTCAAGAAGATTCGCCTGGGAGCAGATCCACACCTAAGTCGTATCCTGTGAACGTGATCTCCATGACTTCGTCAATAGCGAGGTTGAAGAGGGAAGGTGACAACGGGCAACCTTGTCTCACACCGCTAGAGATATTGAAAGGCGGCGACAGCTTGCCGTAAGCCCTTATTCTGCTCGAGCTACGTGCATAAAGCGCTGGCATTATGGTTACATACCCCTCGGGCACACCTTTCCTTAGCAGTCCCAAAGGGCAAATGGAGCAACCAAAACGAAGGCACCTTTGATGTGGGGGAACCCGACATCAGTGGAGCGCTAATGTATATGACGGTGCTCCAACAGCCGACGTAAAGTGAAGACGTTGTCAATGCAGCCAAGACACCGAGGAAACCCGGCTTGCTCTTCACGAACCTGGCTTTCGGGAGCGCCAGTCAATCTAAGAACGAGAGAGGCAAGCAATTTGGAGGTGATGGAGATCAAACTGATTCATCTATGGTTACCGCAATCCGATCGTTAGCCTCCTTTGAAAATAAGGACTATGACGGAGCGGTTCCAGTCCGTTTGGACAGTTTTCCGCACCAGTTTCACTAGTAACTGGTGTAAATCATCAATAAGAGCAGGTCCCCCGAATTTGAATAGAACTGGAGAATGATCATCTGGTCACGGGGCTTTATTCAACTTCGCCAATCCGATCTCACGTTCGACTTCTGAGTGAGGGGGCGGATATAAATGGACAGTCGACGGAGGAGCAGGGCGATCAGTGGCCGGCAAGAAACCTGAAAATTCCGACCGATTAAACTGCATTGCAAAATGCTCAGCCCAACGCTCAAGCGTTTTCACAAGTTGTGGATAGGTCATTCATTTTCCTCGGTTTCTGCACCGACTTCGACGGGTACCGCCCCCACTGAACTAGACAGCCTGAATTGCAGCATTGTATATGTAGGCAAACTGCTGGCAAATCTTGAGGGGAAGAAGCCTGCCGGGCCAGATGAAATCTATCCACGGATCCTTAAGTCATTATGAGCCCCAGCTACAGAAAGCGAGATGATATCTCACTTTCTGTAGCTAGGCTGTTCAACAGGTCACTTATCCACTGGCTTATTACCGGACGTCATAAAGCCAATACCGAAACGTGACCCAAACAAAGTGGATAACTACCGGCCGATCTGCCTGACTGCTGTTTTGGCAGACGCTTGAGAAGGGTCTTTAGAAGCTTCTCGAGTCTAAAAGCTCCTTGAGGCCTGCACAGCATGGTTTCGTAAAAAGTCGCTCATTCATCATCAACTTATTGTTGCGGCACGAATGGTTGTAAGCGCTGAACTAAGGCAAGTCGGTCGACGTCATATACATTGACTTCAGTAAGGCTTTTAACAAGCTTAATCAAGAAGTGCTCCTCGATAAGCTGAGGGTGTGCGGTGTTGGCGGCTCACTGCACCGATGGATTAGAAATGTCATTGCCGGTCGAAAGTGGAGGATCCAGGTCAACAACTATTTGACCGACTGGTATTCACCGAGCAGTGGCGCGCCCCAAGGCCCTATACTAGGGCCCATTTTGTTCCTGATCCGTGTAAACGAGATGCCACAGCTTCTCCGTACACCTTGTGCATTGTTTGCAGATGACTTGAAGGTGTGGAGAGTAATCCGTGCACCCAATGTCTGTGACCTGCTTCAACAGGACATGGACCGCCCCTCCAATGTGGTCCGCAGAGGTCAGCCTTCCGATCAACCCAGTCAAGTCGCAATTCATGAGGCTGGGTTAGTGTGAGCACGGTCGAAGCTACACTGTGGCCGGTTAACCATTGTATCTGGCGTCTTTCGTGCAATACCTCGGTGTAATCTCACACTAGGACCTAAAGTGCATGGACAACCCGAATAGGCTTTACCAAAACGGCCTTCGTATGCTTTGGGCGTTCAGGCGCAGCTTCAGCACTTGGTCCGAAGAGATTACCACTGGCCTCTACGTCGCCAGAATACGACCAATGGTAGAGTATGGCTCTCCCGCGTATTATCCTATCACTCGGGGCGAGGTAGAAAGATGGGGTGAGTGCAGCTGATTCCCAATTTACGAGGTATGCCGTACGAAGACCGGTGTAAGAAACTAAGGCCTTACACCCTAGCTTATCGTCGACTGCGCCTTGACCTCATCATGATGCACCGGATATTACATCTAGGGGAATACCTAATGTTGAGGTCGCTGCTGCATTTTCGAAATCAAAGCAACACAAGAGGACACCGGCACAAGTTTGTAGTACCGGATTTGAAGCGAGTCGCCCATCAAGTGCGTTTCGAAAGAGTGGTGAATGTATAGAACAACCTGTCGTAGCACGTAGTTGAGGCAGTCAGTGTCGGAATCTAAGAAACTCCTGGATAAACACTTTTCTGACATGAAATATATCGTGTGTTCCAATATAACGAGTCTTTGTACCTAAGGGATATTAGATGCACCTACACAGAGATATTTCCCCTTGCTGCTTCCAGACAGTAATCAGTAACAGCAGGTATCCGGCTGCGTTTTCCGTACCAGACGGAATAACACGATGGTTACCAATAGCAGCGGCCACTTCCATGTCAGATACACGAAGAGACCACGAAGATTCGTGGTCTCCCTTCAGGCTGGCACGGAGTATTGCCCGGAGGCTTTTGTGAGTCTCATTGTGTTAGCTTCCAACCGGAATGTGCCGGTGAGCACCGATATGTTCCAGAGACTGCGAAGAGACCCAATGCCCATGTTGGCGATTAGACTTATCGCATGGGGATTTGTCTGCTGATAGTAGTCTGGTGAACTTAGACAAGTGACCTTTGATTGTATCCGGTGAGCGTTTACTCGACCCGCATGTCAGCGTACATCGATACGCATTCAAAAGCAGCTGGCTTCGCCAGGTGGCTGGTGTCTGCCTCTAGATAAGCGGCGTGCTTTATGATTTGACACTGGAGCGATTCAAGGCTGCCGACTTACAGGGAATTCCTCTATGACTGTTCAAGTATGGTGGTGCAGTAATCATCACCCAACTGACTTCGTTATTGTCCAAATTTTGGCACAGAGAAAAGGTGGATCAATTACTATCTCGGTTTGTAAGATTAATAATCGTACTTCACGCGTCAACCACCGAGGGAGTAGTCTCATCTCTTATGCCACCAAACTATCGGCATTATCTCTGATTTGTGAATCACAGCACCGTGAAGAACAAGCTGGTTTATGTCCTGGACGTGCGGATCAAATCTTTCTATATCGATAACTCCTAGAACACCGTAACTTCTACCAGTGGCCTACCCCCCGTTGCTTCCATATCGAGTTGTATTCTACTAGGCCGATCGACCGGCTCAATCGTAATGATTGCTAGGAAGCGGGGACAGAAAAATTTACTGCCATCCAACGCGCACTATGCTTCATGTTTCAAGTAGAGTAGGAGCATATGGCAAGCTGTTCTTATCCGTCGATCGGAACAGCGGTTCACGACAGAGCCGTCTGTAGTGACCTGGATATCTCGTGTTTGATCGGACTGTAGTGAATTGTAAAAGTATAGTTTCAGTATGTAGCTAAGAAAATAAAAAGGTTGCTTTTTGAATGTTACGTACGTTTTAGTTAACACACGGACCTTTCCGGCACAGACACGAGTTGCTACCTGCGGTCATCTTTGCACGCGTTTATATCTCTCCTACCGTATTGGTGTCTTACTTTGTCTTAGCTAGACTAACGTCCTTTTAGTAAAATTTTGCCTAGCTTACTTTGTGTTCATCCGTTTACATACGGTAGCCCGTTAATTCGTATGCCCGCATGATATCCGCTTCCATTGATCATCAATCTGGTAATTGATAACGTCCCGCGGAAGCTCTGGAAGGTTATCATGATTACTCATCCGAAATACTGGTGCGTTCACCTAGAGAATGCATTCTAAGCATCTCGAGTGAACAAGTGAGTACTTTTAATGCGTAACAATTGACAATGTGAAAAACCGTGCATAAGGTCATTGGGCGGATGTTGTATGGGAAATAATTGATTTCGTTCCAAGCGGTTGATGAATGACGGAAAGTGTCATTGGGACTAGTTGCGGGCGCGCGTGGACACAAATCGGGATGTGCAGACAGGGTTTAATGATATCCAAGCCATTCTCATATGCATTACAAAGTAACCGCTGCTCGAATGTCCAAAAATAAGAACAAGCAATCAATCAGGCGTTGAAGTCCTAAAGCATCGGTTTGCTCATAGGCATAGGAGCTAGGACATTAGTGGGTTAGATTGTGCCGTCTCTAGACCCAACCTGACTTGTGCTGACAAAGTTGCAAATAGGTGGGCTGCACAGGGAAGCATTAAGAGAGCACCGTATAATAGTGCTAAACGATGCAAATTAGGAAGGAGAACCTCAAAAATGCGACATGAATCAGTGAGACGATGTACTTAAAGGTATTGCGAAGAAAGTCGGGAGCTGATCGTCACCAGCATAAAAGCACCAAGCATAAGCAACTCACTTGAGCCCGTTCAAATTTGGAGGCGACATAATAGCAAGCAGAAGCGACGCACATGGCGTATTTGGGTTTAACCTAAACAATTTGAAAAATTTAAGTGGGACCCACCTTGACCTTCGTGATGAAAAGATCCATCAGGCAAACCGCCTTACAAAATACAACGGAAGAGAGGGAGTAAAAAACACTATGAAGGCACCACAGCGCTGCGAGGGTTTCGTCTCGTAAACGAGAAGTGAGCTGGTCACCGTTTGTCTAACAGGTTTAATCTAGGAGGAAGCGAATGACTTACGGGATCGGTAGCAAGCGAATGTTTTGAGCACGCAGTAACCAGGACCTCCTGTTGCATGAGCCAACCTAAAGCCTCCGTAATGCTTGATGCATACTGGTGACAGGTAAATCTCAGTAAAATGCACAAACCGATATAGCAGCGTACTCATCCGGTGAAGAAACTCGGAATGCACCACAAACGGAAGCAAAAGGACCAATATGCTTCCCCTCGGTAATAGCATGGGTAGGTGCAGTAATGAAACCATCGCGTGGATCCACACTTGACTGCAAGCCGTCAGTTGAGGTCGCACGGCCCCTACGTCTGCGCCTGGGACGACTGACAGAGGTGATCAGGGCTTTAGGAATATCCGTTCCGGTATTTGTCAAAACCCGGATGACACCACGTGAACCAGTGACCATCATTGTCTTCGCAATCCACAAGCGGACACCACGGGCCGCAAGAAAGACAAAGGCAAACAAGACAGACGCACAAAAACCAGCGACTCACATAAGACCTTGAGGAACAAAGCCAGCGGCCTTGGCCCATTGTCTACCTCCACTAGCATTTTAAAACAAATATAATGAACTGAAAACGGTCGTTTATTGCCAACAAGCAGGCTGAAGTATACACTGTTATTCGTTTCTCTCGTGGTCTTGTCAAGGTAAATCGAGTTTGTGGCGTGCCCTTGGACGCTTGGATGCTAGAGAGCAAGAGAAAGACAATTTGCCAGCTCCTTCACCTCCCGATCATTGCAAAGCTAGCATATGGAATTGCGAACCAAGGCTCCACAGAGGACCACTGTAGCTGCCTTAGGAACAGCAGCATTTCAGCACACTCAGTTGAGAATCCAACAGTCGTTTGAAATAAATAAATAAATAACGAATACATACTAGAGTTTGTCGCGACACACCAAACCAGGCATGATCAACATTAACATGCAATTATGTTTCGCAACAAACACGTTGCTATGTATGCAATCGGCAGTAAGCCGAAAGTTGTACAGGCTTTGGAAAGTGTAAAAGTAATCATGAGGAATAAAGTCGTCAATGCATGACGACACGTTGGGTTCAAGCGTGCGTTGTGTAAACATTCTGGGCATTACATGTGTAGTGAAAACGATACATGTACTTGAACGTGTCAGGAAAATATTAAATTATGATTCTTGTCGACTTGCTAGTATGTAGTTGTGTGCAGTGACTTTATTCAGTGGCGAGTCACATCCGCAACGTCGCAGTGTTGTTAAGCAAACCTTTGGGACTTTTCATAGGGAGAACGCTTGCCAGGCGAAAACCCACCTCGTCCTGGAACACTGGCAGAAATGCGTTTGTACACTAATGTAAAACTGGCAGAGAAGCTTGCGACTGATTTCACCCTCGGTTAGCCTCAGTCAATTGACTCCCAATTTCCTCTGTTAGTTGATCAGGTATCTTTGGCCAGGTCCGCCATAATGGCTGAGGCCCATGGAGGGTAAGAGATTCACGAAGAGTCGGCTCTGTGAGCGTCCAGGTGAGCAAAATGTCGGTTTCTTGCGTCTGGATTTTTCAGGTTTATGTATACTTTTCAGGAGTTGAGGGCCTCGTGTCCAGCTATCATTACTGGACAACGGTCTTGGTAATGAGTGCAGTTGTATCTATTTGTTGTACACCCATGTTCTTTGTAGGTCGCTGTGGGTTATGTCCTGGTTGGACAGGTAATTTGATCGGGGTCGCCATGATTTTTGAGGTCGGTGGAGGAGAGGGACATCGCGGTTATTCTTCTTGTTGTATGTCCAGGTGAGCAAAAGTTCAACTTTTCCGCTGTCCAGCTTTTTCAGATGTATAATATTTGGGAGTATGAGGACATGTCCAGTTCACCATACTGGACAAGGGTTATGTTGATTGTAGGTCGGTCCTTTCGGAGTTTCACCATCCTCCATGTCAGTCCTTGTGGGTTGTGACGTCATAATTGGGCCAAAACTGTTCCTCAGTCCAATCCCAGATCTCCAAGAAGTCCCGGACCTCAGAGAAAATGGAAAGTGAGGGACAACCGGGAGAAGACCACAAGAACAGGCATGGAGTTGAATATTGTTAATGTCTTGTGTTTAAACATTTGGGCTTGGGACAAAAGCATGTACA